GGTAGTGGCCTGCAACGCACTGAGCAGCCATGGCCCTGTGGAATTCCATGCTGAAGTCCTGACCCCCACCGTGAGGGTACGGGGGGGAGGGGGGCTTTGGGAGGTGATGATGTCACGAAAGTACGTCCCATGAATGGAACTGGCGCCTTTTGTGAAAGGAATCCCTGAGAGATCCCCTATCCTTCTTCGGCCACAGGAGGATACAAAAGGAAGTCTGCTGTCTGCAATCTGCAAGGGCCCTCACCAGACCCCAACCACGCAGCACCTGATCTCAGACTTCTGGCCTCCAGAACTCTGGGAAATGAAGGTCTGTGGCTTATAAACCGTCCAGGCTACGATTCACTTTTGGGTTTTAGGCTTTTGCTTTTTGCAGTGTTGGGCATCAAAGCCAGGGCCTTGTGCACGCTAGACAAGGGCTCTCCCACTGAGCTACACCCCCTGCCCAATGGCGCTTTCACCAACCAAACTAAGGCAAGCCCAAAGATGATGAAAATGAGGGGTTTTTGTTTTTGTTTTTAAGAAGCATCACCAAAAACCCACTGTGGTTAAATCACATTTACTAGGACAAGAAAATAGAGAGAAAGATAGCTCTAAAGCGCGCGCGCGCGCACACACACACACACACCCCCCAAATGCCAAGCTTCGGAAGGCAGAGCAGGTGTTCCCCGCTGGGAGGACGGTGCAATCAGGAGGCTCTAGCTGATAATTAAGCTGCAAACATGCACAGAGCTGCTTCTCTGGCCAGATAACATTGCAGGTTGTTCCCAAATCCCATCATCTCTAGCCAAGGAGAAGAAAAATGTGGGGGAATCTAGCAATGACCTCTGAAAGATTTCACTGCCAAAGGTCTCTAACAAGGAGGACAGGCCAGGAAGGGAGGGCCAGGTCCCTCAGGGTGAGCTGGGTCTCTGAGGCTGTGGGAGAAGAGGCTGAGGGTGGGGAAGAGCCCTAAGGGGGGTCCCCTTTTCAGCTCTGGACCCCTGTTCTGAGAGTGCACTGCTCACTTCCATTGAAACTTCCAGTTTCTCTGTCTTTGACAATAAATTTCTAAAACAGCAAAATTCAACTTGTGAATTTAGGACCCATGACTAACTTTCCTGATTTAATAGAGGCACATCTGTAATTGACCTCGGGGGCCATTTAGGGAAGCAAGTGCCTCTTCCCAGGACCCAGATCTTTGGCATGGAAAACATCTAGTGTACAGATGCTGGTCCAGCAGGTTCTGGCAAGTTCTGGGCAGAGCACATCTACCCTGCTGTTCTGATGCAACCAACCATCTTGGTGCTCTGGATGCTCTGTCTGTGACTAAAAAGCCAAATGACTTCGGGTCTCAGATATAATCTACTAACAAGTTCTCAGACAACAAATAATGGGGTGCTAGACATTGAGAAAATACAGGGCTGGGGTTGTGGCTCAGTAGTGGTAGAGCACTTGCCTAGCATGTATGAGGCACTGGGTTTGATCCTCAGCACCACATTAGAAAAAAAAAAAACTAAATAAACAAAATAATGGTATTGTGTCCATCTACAACTAAAAATATTTTTTAAAAGAAAATACAAATTGGAACAGGGGAGCTTAAAAGAATAGCTGACCCAAGGGCCTCTGTGATCCAGGAAGGATTCCCAGAGGAAGTGGCATTTAAACTCAACCCTGAGGAATGAGTCACCCAGGGAAGTCCTCAAGCAGAAGTGTTCAGGGGACCGGCATGTTCAAAGGCTCTGTGGTTGAGGTGAGTATCCAAAAAAATAACCAGTTGTACACGTGACTTGGTGTTTCGGGAGCGGGGACTTAAAGGACCATTTTCCATAAAAGTAGTCAAGTCAAAACTTTTTTCCAAGCCAGATAGGACCAGTTCACAAGGGTCTGTTCTGTCTTCTGTCAGATGTTCGAGGTTGATTTTCTACTTCTGAAAACACACAGCAGAGCCCTCAACAGAGAAAAATGTTAGGTCGAGTTTTTAGTGTGCATTTCATGTTTATTCCAAATTATCCTCTAGAAAAGAGTGGGAAGCCACTCACACTGGTTAAATGCCACGCACGTGCCAAGCACGAGACTGGCCCCTGGGCACTAGTTGTCTCACTACGAATCTTCAGATGACCAGAGAGGGCGGTGACTATTGCCCTATTGCAAACATGAGAAAATGGAGACTTGGAGACTCCAAATATCCTGCTCCAAACCAGCCGGCTGGCAAGTGCAGGAGCCTGACATTGCAATCAGGTTAGTCCCACCTCACACCTGCCCTCCTTCCAGAACTGCCTGCTGCCTTCACCTGGGTTTTCATGCAGGGTCACGGCGTTCAGTCATTAAAGAATATTTCTTGAGTGCCTATTTGCATGCCAGAGGCTGTTCCGTGGAGAGCCCCTTCCTGGTCGTACTCATCTTCCAGTGTGGGGAAATAGGGGTGCAGTACCACAAGGGCATACCTAAGATAGGTTAGGGGCAATGAGAAGACGAAATAAGATTAGGTGGAACAGCCAGGCACAGTGGTGCACACCTGTGATCCCAGGCTTGAGAGGCTGAGGCAGGAGGCTCGCGAGTACAAACCCAGCCTCAGCCACCTCGTGGGGCTCTAAGCAACTCAGCGACACCCTGTCTCTAAATAAAATATTTAAAAGGGCTGGGGATGTGGCTCAGTGGTTAACGCACTGATACCAAAAAAAAAAGAAAGAAAATTAGGTGGAAGAAAACCGAGGGAGGTGACATTTGGGTAGGGACCATTTGTAGAAGCTATTAATGAAGGTTTTGCTTAAATCCAGGAAAGAGAGCCACAGCTTTGAGCAAGAAGCATGCGCAGAGCCATCATCAAGGAGGCCTGCTCCGTCTCCAAGGGAGAAGCCCCATCTAGTGGCCATATCCAGAAACTGCATGGGTCGAGCCAACAGAGACTCAGAACTTGGGTGTGTTCAATGTGCACAGCCACAGAACACAGAGAGATAGGCAACTCCTTTTAAAACCACCCTGTAAAGCAACTCAGTGAGACCCTGTCTCTACATAAATGCAAAATAGGGCTGGGGATGTTGTTCAGTGGTCAAGTGCCCCTGAGTTCAATCCCCAGTGCCAAAACAAATAAACAAACAAACAAAACACCCTGTCGTTCAGAGGCAGTCTCCTGGATGTTCTTAAGCCATAAGTAAATAAATGACCCCTAAATTAATAAATAAAAATCAAACTTCACTTACAGTCATCCCTTGGTCTCCACAAGCGATTGATACTAGGATGCCTGCAGACACCGACCAACATCTGTAGATGCTTAAGTCTGTATATGAAATTGCATACAACCTACACATATCTCTTCATGTGCCCTAAATCATCTTTAGATTGCTTATACTATTTAATATAATGTAAATGCTCTGTAAATAGTATAACAACTCTTCTAGGGAATAATGTCCAGAAAAGGAATAATGTCCAGAAAAGGTTCAGTACAGAGGCGATTTTTTCTATTTTTTGATCCCAGAGTGGTTGAACCCATGGATGCCAAGCACAAGGATACAGGGAGCTGTCTGTGTGTGTCTGCAAACAAATGCCATGTTTTTTTTACAACACCTAGTTACCATTTCTGAATTTAACATTTTTCCTATAAACCAACTTGTTTATTAAATAAATTTCACTTAAAAGGCAAAAATCCTTTGCCATCTCCTACAGTAAATGGAAATTCAGTATCATGCATGATAAAGCTAGAAGCTAGCCACCAACATGCAACACCAAGTCACAATGTTTGACTTCCCTGGGGCCCTTGGCCTTGCTCTGTCTTTGTTACAGGAGGAAGATCAAGGAAAGACACTGAGAGGATAATAATTTTGTCACTGGGAGATTGGATATTATTTAAGGTCATGCCCTGTGCCCTCAAGTTCTGGGGTAAAATGCCCTGGAGACACCAGACACACACGTGACTGTGTTTGCTTGTCCAGGCTTGGAATCTTCAAGCACATTGAAAAATGGCCCTGGTGACCATTAAACAAACCCCAACCCCCAGCCCAGAGAGGTGAATTGATTCTTGCAAAATCACATAAGGGATGGAGAACTTGAACTGAACCAGGTCTCCTGATTCCCACCCCAGAGTTCTTTCTCTGCACCTGGGGAGGCCAAGGTCATCTGTTAAGTACCAAAAATCCTCCTTTGATGGAAAGCTGATGGAATATGAATTCTGTGTGTGATCCTTCAAATGCTTTTTTTAAAGCTTGTGCTTTTTATGTGTGCATTAATAGTCAGGGGGGAAAGAAAGGGAAAATCATTAGGAAACATAGTTTCCTAAAGCAGAATTTTCAGAAAAGTGGCCATGGACAGTTTTTCCTCCCAAATTCATTTCACATCCTAGTTTCTGATCAGTCTGTAGAGACAAGTATTTTTCTGATTGATGTGGGGACTTGGGACAGGAGTGAAGGGAGTGGGGGAGGCTACCTAGATAGCAGCCTGGGTGGGATTTCACAGCAGGCAGCTGTGACTTGGTGACACGCTGCCAGTGCCAGATGTCCCTAATCCATCACTCGCTGGTTGCCATTCTTGGCTCAGAAACCAAAGGAGCTGCTTATAAAATCTAATTGGGAAGAAGAGCAAGAAAAACAGACACGAGAAATTGAGAAGCTCAATCTGGGGTTCCTAAGACTGAAGAAAGCCCAGCTGTGCACCCACCCTAGGCTGCTCTTCTGGGCACAGGGACACCATCCAGGCCAGGAGTGGCTCTCTCCTGCCTTCCCTAGACCTCCTCCATGGAGACACTGGAACTGAGCGTGTTGGCAGCCCAGATAATGAGATTTCCACATCTCCCTGACCCCATCTGCTCTCCTGTCTGCCCAAAGCCCTCACCTGAAAACATGGAATTTGAAGGGACAGTGGCCTTGACCTCTTGGTGGGGAGGAGGACCAGAGAGACCAATTAAGAGTTTACTACAGCTTCTGGACCAGAGTTTCTCAGCCTTGGAAGGTGCAGACCTCATCCTCAGGATGCCCACAGCCTAACGGTTGCATGTGCTGACCCAACACTCCAACTGCACAAGGGCTTACCTGTCACTCCACGTGCTGCAGAATAAATTTGCAGTTTCTTCATCACAACAGCACCTACATGACTTTGGAGTCATCTGTACAGTTTTTTTCTCAGTATCCACGGGGGATAGGTTCCAGAACCTTCTCTGAATCCAAACTCCAAGGATGCTCAAGTCCCTTGCATAAAGCAGCATAGCATTTCCTCAGAACACATGCACATCCTCCTGTGCCCTTGAACTCATATCCAGATTACCTAGGATACCTAATAGGATGCACGTGCTATGAAAATGGTTGTTCTACTACGTCACTTAGGGAATAATGATGAGAAAAATCTACATGTTCACTGCAGTTGCAATTTCTTTCTGAGGATTTTCCATCTGCAGTCATGAAACCCAAGGATGGGGGTGGGGGACACTTTCGGTGTCACTCTGTGGGCAGAGCTGCTTTCACATGGACTTTGAGACCCTGACAGTCACTGTGCCTTGGCAGTTCAGGCCTCCTTCCCCTGGAGTCATAAAAACCCCACCTGTGTTCCAGAGGGGCCCAGGAACAGACTCCACACCCTGAATGAGCAGATGTTTATTTTGGGGGTTAATAAATAGTATTTTTTAGCCAAGCATGGTGATGCACACCTGTAATCCCAGCTGCTCTGGAGGCTGAGGCAGGAGGATCTCAAGTTCAAGGCCAGCCTCAGGAACTCAGTGAAGCCCTAAGCAACTTAGTGAGGAACTGTCTCAAAATAAAAAATAAAAAGGGCCAGGGATGTGGCTCAGTGGTTAAGTGCCTTTGGGCTCAATCCCCAGTACCAAATATAGGTAGATAGAAAGAATATATAGATAGCCTTTTTTAAATGCAGTATTTTAGGTTAAGCAGCTGCTTGGGATTCAAGGGACCTAAAGAGCTCCCCTGCAGGGGACCTGGGGTTAGGTGTCCACCCCCCACCACTACTCTGCCCCATCTGAGCAGATGACTGAGGTAAGTGGGTCTCAGGTCAGGTTGGGCACAGAGAAACAGTGGCTTTGCCTGGACGTTGGAGAAGTTGGCCTTGTAAATATACAAGGACTGTCTGGTTTGAAGGTTGAGGTGATTCCAACTCTCTGTCCTTCTATTGTATCCAAAATGCTGTGACTCCTATTTTGCATCGTAGTGTTTAACTGCGTCCTACCCATGACAGGGCATGCTGAGCATCATCTCAGGGCATCATCTCAGGGCAGAGGTTTGCCTGTGCGAAAGAGGGATTTGCACTTATTAGACATGTTCAATTATTTTCAAGGGTAAATCTTATTAAACTGTCTTTTCTCCCAAGGCGTTAACATTTAGATCCTGGCCTTTAGTTCTGCAGTAGGGGGGCCGGTAGGTGAACACCCCATCATAGCCAAGAGAACACACGAACCCAACTACAGTCATTCTGAACGCCATAGTGCTACGGAATAAATGTTGTCACTGATTCACCCTGACAGCATCTACACAATTTTGAAGCACAGTGATCTGTACCGTCATCTCTTGGCATCTAGGAGCGGTCCTCTCGGTTCTGTCTTCAAAATCCAGAATCTGTACCCCTTTGATGCTGGGTGGGGGGGGGCAGATAAACCTTGAAACATTATTCATCCATCAAAAGGGGACGAAATCCTGTTCCATACTAAGAGATGGGCAAACTTGAAGACATTAAGTGAAATAATCCAGTCCCAAAAGGACAAATACTGTAGGATTCTACTTCAATGAGATACTTGGGAGTAGTTAAATTCACAGAGATAGAAAGTAGATGGCAGTGGCCAGGACCTCATTCCCCACCTCCTTCCCCTCCATCTATTCCTCTCCCTTGTGCTATCTTCAGTCTTCCTGCCCCAGGGCCTTTGCTCTAGCTCTTTCTTCTCTGCGCTTTCCCCTCTGGCCCATATCTGCCTGGCTTACCGGGTCACCTCCTTCAGTGTCTTCCCACCTCCTTGGCCAGGCCTTCCCCTCCTGGCCTAGAAAACGTGCGACTCCAGGGCCCCCACCTCTCCTCCCTCTTTTCACACTCCACATGCTTTGCAAGCCTTGGGCTCCATTGCGGGCTCCCCTCGAGCTCCCCAGGGCGGGGATCTTTGTTGGATTTTGCTCACCCAAAGCAGAGCCAGGCAAACAGCAGGTGTCAATAAATCCGTGACGGACGTCAGGGAGTGTAACCGTGGGCGAGTTGTCGCTCCCACTCCACTTCGTGATCCTACACAGGTGTCCCAGGCGCCCCAAATCGGCTGAAGACCGTGCGGGACCCACCCACCCGGCTGCCGGCGCTGATGGAGGCGGACTCGGCATTTCCAAGCTCCCGGCCTTGGTGGCGCTGCTTGCTGTGCCATGTCACAACTTCTAAGGGCTGCGAGAGACTGGGGTTCCCCGAGAGGGGACCGGAGTGATAGTCGCCCTGTCCCCCCAGAGTGCCACGGCTTTGTGCCCAGGGGGACGCGCTGCGTCGGTGGCCCCAGGCGGGGACTGCGCAGCCCCCTCTTGTCGCCGCCCTGCACCTGCCCGGCGTCGCGACAGACCTCGCCGGCCAGAGAGGAGCCCAGAGCAGGGCGGTGTGCACAGGCCCCTGGAAGCACCCGGACTTATCTCCGAAATGCAGAACCGCGTCCCGCGCCTCCCTCGCCTTCTGAAAATCCCACCGCGTGCACATTAGGAAGGGTCATCGGGATCCACCGGGACGTGAGCCACAGCGAGTCACAGGCTCCACGCCCAGGTGCGGTCCCCTCCCGGCTGGCCTCCCTCCTCTCTCCTCCAGGAGCTCGGTCCACCGGGCGGGCTGCAGGCACCGCCTACCAGGCATCCCCAAAGCCTCCTGCGCCCCCTGCGGGTGGGCCCTGCGGGTCCTGTCTGGCGGGGTACCTGGCCCTGGCCCTTCTGCCTTCGTTCCCCTCTAACCCCTGCAAACGTCTGCGGCACTGGAATTGATGTGTGTTTGGAAGCTTCCCCGTTATTGCCCAACGCCGCGGTATAGCTCCAGTTCCCCTGAAATCCCATGAATTCCCAAGAGCTGAGGATGGGAATTTGGACCTTGCCATTCCTGCTCCTTTTCCCTGGGGCGTTAGCATTTGCCCTGGGTAGTTTTGAGGCCAGTGCAGTGACTCTCACCACCGGATGCTCTGCTGGTGGTGGAGGAGGGGTGTGGATCCTACATTTCCCAGTGTCTGCCCCAGGAGGCCACCGAAAGAATGTCTCAGTCTTGCCTTGGGCCTGAGTGGAGGGGCAGGAGGGTATGATGGGGAGGAAACCAGGGGCTCAGAAAAGCCGAGCTTGGGCTCTGAGGGTACCCCTGGGGCAGGGTGGGCATGGTTAGAAGGGGCCTTGTGGGGCGCCCACTGGGCTGGCACTGAGTAGTTTCTGTCCAATGGACAAGTGACAGCAGGGTACGTCCAGTGACTGTGTTGGGGCTTCCCTTTCACAAGCAGCCAGCGAGAGGAGCATGTCTCCAGGCTGTGTGGGCACGGACTAGCTGACATAAGGAAGTAAGCCACCAGCAGGCAGCGATGGTGGCCAGAGAGCATCCTGAGGGCATTTGGGTCTCAGGATCCAGTTGCCCCTGACGTTCCATCTTCATCCGGGCACCTTCCACAGTTTTCTTCTCAATTCACCCCACAAACCTAATAAATCCTTGAGCTTAAGCTTGATTGAGTGCATCTGTCACTTACAACCCAAAGAATTCTGACTAAATCCACTCACCTGAGTGACATACTCCCCGGGGTGTCCCCAGTTCTGTGCATCACTGCACCGAGTCTCTGCAAAGGAAGCACATTGGGATGCAGAGGAGTGAGTGGAATGCTGTGTAGGGATAAACCTAAATCCGCTCTAACTCATTAAATAATCATAATCTCTGCTTCTTTGCTAATAGCTAACCGCCTCCTAATCGCTGGCATTTGCTCTGTGGAGGATACAGACTGAGGAACAGGACGAGGCTCGGCCTGCCCAAGTCACAGGACGGGTGGTGGAGAATCGGAACCATCCTTCTCGCTCCAGAGACTGAGCTGTTTGCTAGTTATTTGCAGCATGCTGCATAACTGTAGTGTCTAGACTTTGTGGCTAAATATTCTGTTCCCCAGCATCAATTACCTGAATTTGTCTCATTTGGGCACCAGCGTGGTTTATCTCAAGAAATAATTGGCCACCCATGGTCTCAACTTGAAGGAAACCAGCTTAATTCCTCCTCCGTGCCTGCTGCCCAGCCCGGGCATTTAAAAGAGAAATTGGCAAATGTGGTGAGCCTGGACACAGAGTCTGGGAGCAAGCGACATTCAGATAACTCCCTCACAGGTCTATCAGGGAGAAACAGGAAGGCACATGGGTGGCCGAGGAACCTTGGACCTGCAAGATAATAGGATGGCCAGAGAGTGCAGCCAACCACTGAGGGAGCGGAGCCAGGCCTCCCTACTGGGGTTTCTAGAAGTCATGTTTCCTTGTTGAGACAAAACTAAAAGTTGGTTAGATTACTAAGAAAGGAAATCACGTGATCCATTTGGTCCTCCTATTCTGTAATGGTGGCATCCTAATTGAGTGTGTTCGCATCTCTGGGATGAATACTTTGAAAGTTGCAGCCACACCCCCGAGGGAGTGGATTTTCAGTACTGGTTCCTCATTTGGGGTGGTGCAACTCAGCTGACCCAATGAAAGGGCCCTGTGGACTGGCAGGTCCTTTGGTTGCTTGGTGGTTGCTCAGTGGAATGTGATGGAATGTTTCTGAGGCAGAGAACAACAACTTTTATTTAGTGTCCCAGAATCCGGGAAGGAGACAATAAACCCCTGGTTTTCAGATGCTATTCTTCACAAGCAAAGATGGCCATTTATGGCCATGGATTTCCCCAACCTGAACCAGGAAGAACCACCTTCCGTGAGGAAAACGCTCGGATCAACTGCTCTAGGTGGAGGGAGAAGCCTAGTGGGGGAGTGGATAAGAGGGAAAAAATAAAATAAAACCAAAGAAGAACAGAAGTGTGATGACGGGTGGAGGGTGTGCACGGAGGAGAGAGGTGTGGAGGACCATGGTGTGAGACAGCAATCAGGACGATGGAGTCCAAGAGAGAAATGATCAAGGATTGTTTGCAAGGGCAAAGTGGCTTCAAGTCATCGCTTTATTATAGAGCTGTGGCGTGCCTTCCCTTTGCCATACCCTCAAAACACAGGCTGGCCTCTGTGTGGGTCCTGTGGAGGATGGCACCTCCTCCTGCAGGCGTTATCCCACGTTGGCATCAACACCAGCCTGGAGCTGCAGAACATTCCAGGAGACAACAAGTAGAGACAGGAGCTGAAACCTGGTGAAAGGCAGGGGGAGGTGGGGTGGAGGTGCAAGGTCTCATCCGGATTCTAAAGAGCCAGTGAGCACAGTGGATACCTGGTAGTCCCTGGGACTGAGTGTCTCCCAGGGGAGCTGTTAGTCCACCTGACTTCTGCAGAAGGAGAAGGAGTTGAGCTGAGACAAGCCGGGCTGAGACAGGACATGATGGTTGCCTTGAGCTTAGGCTAAACCACTTGGACTTATTCACCTGAACACCCAGGTCTGGGAAGGTGGCTTTCTGAACTAGAGGTAGTTTCTACTGCTTTGGGCAAGAGGGAAGTTAACTAGGCCATGCAAGGACTGAGCCCATGACCTTGACCTGAAATATGTACCTAACTCTATGTAGAGACAGATCCTACTTTCCAACATACTATGATCTGAAGATGTGTTGGCACGAGTTGTGCTTAGAAACATCATCCCGCACAAGTGGCCCTGTGGAGGACTCCTAGGTTCCCCATCCAGCCCACAAAACCGTAGTGTCTGGACCGTGGGCTAATTGTTCTCAAAATACCTTTTCCATAAAGGAAAGCATAGTGCTGATTGTGATTTAAAAACCAACAACAACTGTTACTTCTCCAAGGCCATGATCAGGGTGGACAACTTTGGCCACCATAGCTAACTCATGTAGGGGAGACAGGGTGAGGGAGGCTGTGGAGGGGAGAAATTCAGAGGCGGACAGGGAAGAGCAAGTCCAATAAGTGAATGAATTATGCAACAGTTACCTAAACATTGAGCATCACTGACCTAGTTCTCAATCTAGAGGATTTCACAGATGGCATCTTCCCATCCACCATCCTGAATCCTCTCAACATCCTTGCCAACTGGTCATTCAACCTCTGCTTGAATACCACCAGGGACAGGACACTCATTACCACCCAAGGGAGTAATTTTCTGCCATGGAGAGTTTTGTATGGCTCAGAGATAACATAAACTGCACCACCATTTTTAATCTCGCTCTGCCCTTGGGAGTTGGAACCCTCTAGACCCTGAGGAGGGGGTGGGTGAGGGGCATGCTCATCTAGGGTGGAGAACCCAAAGCTAAGGTGCTTCTTGGATACCTGAGTGTTGAAGTTCCACTCTATACCCTAACACCTGCCAGGGTCCTGGGACACCGTGGCTACTGTTTATTGACCAATTATCATACCATGAACAGTTTTCCTGTTATCATACAGGGTCTCGTGGCAGCCTGTAAAGTAGACACAATCATTAGCCCCATTTTACAGATGGGGAAAAAGAGGATATCGAGATTTAGTAACGAAGCCACGGTTTACCCCGGAGCAGAGCAGTTATTGGAGTCCAAAGCCCATGTTTTCAAACCAGCCCCCACAGGCCCACCTGTGCTTCCAGTCCAGGGTCCTGGCAGGCCACATCCCTCCATTCCCCTTCACCAGCCTCTTCCTCTTCACCTCCTAAGAAACTCTGTATCTTCTGGGTTCACTGGCCACAGAGGACCAGGACAAGATGGGATCCTTCCTGGGCATCTCCCTCTGCATTGCATGAGGTGCCGAGAGCAGCCAGGGGGAGGGAAAGCTTGCTCTCGGGATGGGACAGATTGTGGCCACATTTCTGCCTCCATGAGTGGCTGCCTCTGAAGGGGCAGGGCAGGGTGACAGATGCAGGCAGCAGATTCTGCGGGAAGCCGCTCCTCCCTGGAGGAGGGAGGCTCCAGGGACTAAGTCCGTGATTTAATAAATGCAAAACCCGACGTCTTCACGGGCATTCTGTGTTCTGCTCTCGGGGATGAAAAGATCTCTCCCCACCCCACGCACGCACCTTCTCCAGCCTCCTTTCCGGCTGGCCTCCCCTCTCTGTGAAGCTTGTTTGTGAAGCTCAGCCAGGCAAGGTGCTCTTCCGGAGCATCTAGACTCCATATCAGTGGCAACAACATCAAAGAAACGTATCCTTTTCATACGCTTGTCTGCTTGTCTCTGAACCCAGAAGAAGGCTTTTCTCCTAAATGAATAGATCTTCACTTTTTTTTTTCCGCTCATGCTCATGTAAAGTGGAGCAGTGAGCAGTTTGCTTGTACAGGATCAGACTGTTGCCCCGTGACGGCGGTGTGTTAGCAGAAAGCTCTCTTGCTTGCATGGGAGTTTGCATCTGAATGATTCTCCTGCGCCTCGTGGCACAGGACGCCAGGGGCAATAACAACAGAGCCCATTAACGTGCTGGTAGGAGCGGGGCAGGAGGGCATGGCAGGAGGGTGGAGTCTTGCCAGCCCTGCCCCTCCCTCCACGATATTTCCTGAGCATCTACTATGCACGTGGCGCTCTGAATGTGTGAAACCCTGGTGCATTCTCCCCTGCCCCACCACCACTGAGAGCAAAGACCCTGTAACCAGCACAGTGCACCGCAGACAGTAAATATCATCAGACAAGTGGGTCTTCAGGGTGGTATGCAGGAGATGTATAAAGCACCCTGATTCTTGCAAAGAGGTGAAGTCACTGATTTTTCCACCCCTGGGATCTAGAAGGGCCTCCTTTTGCTTGGACCAATAGAACGCAACTGATGTGCCCCGTGATTCCCAAGCTCAAGCCTCTTGCAACTTCCACATCCCCCCCCCCTAGGACCGGGGCCATCCTGGGAAGGAGCCCAGAGCAGAGGGCTGGAGGATGGCACCTTCGTGTGTCCCCATCCTCACCCACTGGCCGCTGAGCGTTCCTTAGCCCAGCCAAGGTCAGCCAGGCCCACGCAGGCTTAGTTGAGCCCCATCCAAAATGCCAGCTCAGGAAATTGTGGACTAAAAAAATCATTATTGTTTTGTAACGATTCATAACATGGTTGCCCAATTTTTCACAATTAATAAAAAATAATACCCAGTTTTATAGGATACTACTCTTAACATACTATATTCTTTGTTTTGTATACATGTAGCTATTCTATATAGAGTCTGGCAGGGAAAAAAAAACGAGTTTTCTACTCTGAGGTATTGCAAAGACCAAAGTGCTTTCTCTATTCTCTACTCCACACGCGTCTTCCCCCAGATCTGAGGGTTTGTTCCCACACACACCAAGCAATTCCTCAGCAGGACTTGAGCTCAGTGACCTCTAGTCCCATTCAGTTCTGACACTGCCTGGACATAGGGTCAGATCCCAGAGGTCTGTCAGTAGAAGACATCGAGGAGTTCCCGGAGAGGGGACCTCAACTCAGGACAAGTGGGGTCCTGAGGGACATCACAGGAAACAAGCACAGACCAGCGGTTTATGTAAGAAAGCAGAGACGCATTCAAGGAAGAGTGTGGGCCATCTCCAGACTGAGAGATACCTTGGGGTTCTCAGGCTCCTCTTTTCAAGTAAACTTGGTGAGGTGGGTGTGGACCTGGGAATAGCCACAGGTTGGTCATCCCCAGACGGCTTAGGGTGGTCAGTCATTCCCAAGATCCTGAGGCCGACGTGGTCTCCATTAGCTGATCAGTGCATAACACTGGAAAGTTCCTTTGAGTCTATTTCTTAAAATACTGTACCTCCTTGGCTTGATCTATTTATTATGTAGGCTGATTCACAGTGCACACGGTAATTTGCGTAAGTGGGTGAATATCTAGTAACTCTGAAGATTTACGGATTTCCCAGAAATTTGGCCTTGACAGGTCTGGGAGTGACAGGCTAGAAAGTATGTGCAGCTTCAGACTCAAGTGGGACTTGCTTGTCCTTCCTTTTGTCTTCTTTCTTCCTAGGCTTTCATTTCTCCTGCCCTACCTCAGGGTGACAGCTCAGTCCCGTTGCCGGCTTCTTCCCCTTTCCATTGCCGGCCTTGGGGCTTTGTTTTTCCCCTTGCCCCGCCTCCTCAGGTTTGATGAGTTTTCTGGAGCAGTTTTCAGAGCCCAGGAAAATGCTTGCCTCGTGTTTTTGCATTTATTATGCAGGATATCACAAAGGGTAAAGGCCAACTGCCGGGTGGGAGAGATGCCCAGGGTGCAGTGTGGGGACAGGGTAGGAGCCTCCGTGCCTTCTCCAGGGAGAACCCTCCAGGGACCCCCATGAGTTCAGCTCTGAGGAAGTTCCCCTTGGGGTTTTAGGGAAGCTTCATTCCTCAGGCGTGATTGATGACATGGTGGGCCACCGGTGATCGACTTAATCTTTAACCCTTTCCCTTCTCTGGAGGTGGAACTGAAAGTTCCAATCCTCTAATCAAGCCTTGGTCTTTCTGGAGACCAGCCCCCATCCTGAAACCACCCAGGGACCAGCCACCAGGCACCTCATGAGCATTCAAAAAACACTCTTATCTCTCCAGATATTCCTAGGGAGTTTAGAGATGTGTGCCAGGAAACAGACATGAAAAATCAATGTGTTTTTGACCGTATCACTTAGATATGGATGTCAGGGAGTCATCATCACCACCAATAGGTTCTCAGTTGCTACGGACCCCTGTTACCAAAACAGATTAACAGGAGAAAGACAAGCAGAAGCTTATTAACACGCCTATTTCCTGGTAGATCGGACTACCAGGAAGGGTGGGGATGACTAGATAACCAGGATCTAGACATTTCGACAGCTTCCTCTATTCCTGAGAACGGATGGTTCTCAAACAGGTGACTCCAAAGTACAACTTATACAGCAACTTCAACAGCACCTAAATAAATAAATAAATAAAGATGTGACCAAGACAAAGGAAAATGTCTCTGAGTCTCCGTGGGCAGCTACTTGGGGGAAGGAGAGCAAACAAATGACAAATAAAGGCTAGTTAGAAAGGTTTGCTAATATAAATTCCTGTGGCATAATCTCAGGGCCAATGAGGGTCTCCAGCTGTCTGCTATGGTTATCTTTTGTTCTCTTGGGTAGAGACGGGGCAGGACACCCCTGTCTTTGTAAATCTATGTCCTGCTTTCAGGCAAATGGAGAGAGAAAGGGCAGAGAGTTCTGGATTTTTCTAACTGCCGTTAGCTCAGCAATCCTTCATTCTTTGGGGGTGGCATATTCTGATCACCCACATTCATTAGGTTAAAAAATAAAATGAAATTTAGTCTATAGAGTGTATTCAAGAAAAGGTCACTGAATTGTATTCTGATTTTTTAACTTAATGAACTGTGGGCATCTGGGGTTACAACAGAATGCTATTTTGCAGAATTATTTATCATTCACCACACGTGCTCCGTTACATTGTTGTAAACAGTTCCCTGTGGATGGATTTTACATTGTTTTCATATTTGGCTGTCTTAAAAAAATATGATGATGAATACACTTACAGAAATGTCTCAAGATACATTTCTGATTCTTTCCTTAGGACAAATTGCTTTAAAAGGGAAATGCTGGATTAATGAAAAGCTTCATTTTTAAGGCTTTGAATTATATTGTCACAGTGCTTTAGGAGAGCAGTTCTGTATCAATATTATGCTTCACAGGGCCTGTGAAAATCCACTGTACACTAGTGAAAGAATGAGTAAAAAGGACAAATAGCTTCTCCATACTACTATGAAAATAGTTTTCATAGCCACAAAAATTACGAACCTAGAAGCCCAAGGAACATCTTTGTTTGGTTGGTTAGTTTTTTGGGTTTTTTTGTTTTTGTTTTTGTTTTTGTTTGGTACCAGGGATTGAACCCAGGGGAGCTTAACCACTGAGCCACATCCCCAATTCTTTTAATTTTTTATTTTGAGATAAGCTCTCAATAAATTACTTCCGCTGGCCTCAAACTTGCAATGTTCCTGCCTCAGTCTCCTGAGTCACTGGGATTACAGGCGTGCACCACCATGCCCAGCCAAATCCATTTTCTACTCCCATGTAAAAGTCACCCTAGAAATAGCAAATTTATTTATTTGCTCCTGATTCAGCAAGTGGACAGGGCTTCAGCAGGGACAGCTCCACTCTGCTGGATTCAACAGTGGTCCCACTCACAGGTCCACTTACCTGTGGGAGGCTGGCTGGACCTGCTCCCTCCTGTCTGCCTCTCCTCTTGATCTTTCATCCCACGGGGCTTCTCTCTTCCTCTCTTCCTATGGCATCCGCTTGGACTCTTCAAGGCAGCCCAGGGCAACAAGAGAGTGAGAACAAGTTGCTGAGGCTGACTTTGAACTCACAACCTCCTGCCTCCTGCCTCAGCCTCCAGAGCATGCGATTACAGGCGCAGTGCACCACTGCGCCTGGCAGAATACTTTTTCTAAGAAAAAATTAAAAATTTTACTAATCTGTTAAGTAGGATTTCTTTGATGCTGGTTGTTTATTTTTAAGCAAACTTTTTTGGAGCTATGAATTACATATCATAAAGATCACCCACTTGAAGTATATAAACCATTATTGTTTTAAGCTACTAAATTTCTGGGTGGCTGGTTACACAGCTAAAGCTGACATAAGTGAATTATATATTAATACTGAGAGTAAAAAAGAAGCATTAAATAATGCATAGAAAAATAGTACCTTCTATATGGTTAAGTCAGTCAAACCTGTAAGTGCCATGATTTTATTTATTATTATTTGTAAATCAAATATTTATTGAGTTCATGCTCTGGGCTTTAATTATTCTCCATCTCATTCAGAATGTTCAATACCACTCTGTGAAGGAGGTTTGATTAGCCTGGTTTCTGTCCCCACAGATTCAAAGACATCACTGTATACCCCGATGTGCTGTGGAGAGCCCAGAGGAATTCCATAACACATCCCTATTCTCAAAGAGTTGGCAGGATGGACAGTTGGGAAACATCTGAAGAATCTGCCCACTCATTCTTTCATTTAAGTCTGCCATGAATATTGTGTTGAGCGAGGCTCTAAGAAAGGACAGAAACCAGGGACGGATCCCCCCTGGCCTGCACCCGACTTCGGGTCTGCTGGTGGTCTTGATGTCTATCTCTGACTACTTCATCGGTGTTGGATCACAGTTCAACACCAAGAGACTCCACTAAGACAAGATGAGCGAGGTAGGTGGTGGCTGTGGGCTTTTCACATGTGGGTAGAGGGGGCAGCACAGGCAACGAGTCCGGATGTTGGAGAGAACAGGGCATGCGTGTTAGGGGAGGGGGATGGGACTACCAGGAAGGGTGGGGATGACTAGATAACCAGGACCTAGACATCCCAACAGCATAGTCCAGAGACAGCCAAGAGCAGGTCCACCTCTGCTGCTGTGCTCTGAATCCACCAGCTCTTGAGAAACCTGGATACTTTTCAACCCCGGGCTCAGGCAGCAGCCGCAGTGCCACCGAGTTTGCATCCATGATGAACTGCATGCGCCATGGCTGGAATAGTCCTCTCTCTCCTGAGGACGACTGACAGAGAAAACATTCAGCTGGCTCCAGGAAAGATGAACCACGGAGTGAGAAAGAGAACCAATCCCAGAGCCGGGCTTCCTAGGGAGAGATCCTGGTGCCATGTCCCAGCTGCAGGAACCTGTAGGCACAAAGATTTTGTTTTGATCTCCGTTCCTCAGTTTCCATATCTGGAAAATAAGATAGGATCACTCAGCAGCCTCAATGAGATAATCCACTCAAGACAAAGTGCCCCACATACCACTGCTTGATTCCAGTGCCCATACTCTCGATTTCTTAATCTTTCTTCTCCGCAACAGTCAACCAACCTCAAATCAGACGGAGAAGAGAAAATCGACTTGGCAGAGGTGGGCAAAGCGTATGAATGTCTACCCAGCTTTTCTGTGTAGACAAGGACAGAGCCTGTGGCACCAACTGGCCTCTGGGGGTAAAAAGTCAGCTCGAACCTCATCCCAACTTGCATAGGAGTGTCGCCAAGGCCGTGCCCAGCGAAGAGATTGGTGTCTCTGCTCCACATTTGGGGGTAGATAATTGGATGTCCTAACACTGAGAGGGCAACACTGAAGCACAGAGGGGGATAGAAAAACAGTCTCCAGACCCAGTGGTTCCGGATTCCATCGTGGGACCAGACAGGATGGAAAGGCAGGAGTGTGGATTCCTGCTGCTCACAGAACTCCTCCACATCTAGAAGGATGCAGTCTACAGGCCAGGAGAAAACCAGACGAAGGGTGTGGCCGGGGAGATCACTGTGAAGAAGAACAGCAATAGCCTTAAAGAAACAGATGATGAATTCCCTCATAATATGAGAAAAACTATCTTGAGACACCGTATTTTACCTATTCCATGGGCAAAGAAATGAAGTTTGCTAATACCCAGTGTGGAGGAGGTGGCAGGGAGCACAGAGGAACCAAGGCTCTCCTTGATGATGGAGATGTTAACCGGCACAAACTCAGGCTGGGGTTGTAGCTCAGTAGTAAAGCGCTCGCCTAGCACGTGGGAGGCACTGGGTTGGATCCTCAGCACCACATAAAAATTAATTAATTAAGTAACTAATTAATTAATTAATTAAAGGTATTGTGTCCATCTATAACTAACAATTTTTTTAATTAAAAAAAAAACAAACGGCAGAACTGCACACAGATCGATTTAACAATATCTATCAAAATTACAAACGCATTCGCCCTTTACCAGCAATACCAGTATCATACACACGGGAAACAACTCATATGTGAGATTACTGTTGCCGTATTATTTGTGTTAGCCAAAGATTAGAAACAGCCAATCAACAGGGACTTGTTAAATAAATCATGATGCATCTACACACATAAAAAGGAATACAGAAATGGAATTGTCTCCAAGATCCGCTGAGAAGCTTTTTAAAAGCAAGACATAGAATATCATTTATAATGTACTGTTACTTTTGTGGGGGAAAATACAGAGAAATATCTATCGGTGTGTTTTTAGAGACTCACCCTGACTGAAAAATTGAGCAAGGCGGGCCAGCAGCGCATCCAGGGATGACCCCTGGGTGGCTGGGGCCAGGAGGCAGAAGGGGACTTCTAATCTCTGCGTGTTTGTTTGCGCCTTTTAAATTTAGAGATTTAGACCCCCTGTCTTTCCTGGGGAGGGGAAGAGGAAGGTGATGCCTACCTTGAAGGGCTTTTGAAAAACCAAAGCCAGAAAGCGCCTCTGTTCCCTCCTCTTTACTCTCTGTTCCTTTACGTCTCTTCTCTATGATGATAAACAAGCGTCCAGATGCTTGGGTGAGGCACAAGAGGGAAGAAAACAAAAAAGAGCTTTGTTGTGGAATATACCCAATGACCCCAGCGAATCCTGCCGCTCTGAAGTCACAGCCCTGGATTGAATCTGGGCTGACCTCAATTTGCCAGAACCCAGGGAAGGCAGTAGAAGTGACCCGTGGAGGTGGTGCGAGTTTCAGGAACCGCCTTTGCAACTTGTTCTCACTCTCGTGTTGCCCTGAGCTGCCTTGGAGAGTCCAGGCGGATGCCATAGGAAGAGAGAAGCCCCACGGGATGAAAGATCAGAGGAGAGAAAAGCAAGAGGAGTCGACCCAGCCAGCTGCCCTAGGTAAGTGGACCTATGAGCGGGACCACTGTTGGATCCAGCAGAGTGGAGCTGTCCCTGCTGAAGCCCTGTCCACTTGCTGAATCAGGAGCAAATGAATGACTGCTATTTCAAGTTACTAAGTTCTAAGGGGACTTTTACATGGGAATAGAAAATAGATTTGGCTGGGCGTGGTAGTGCACAGTGATTCAGGAGGCTGAGTTAGGAGGATTGTAAATGTGAGGCTAGCCTCAGCAACTTAGCAAAGCCCTAAGCAACTTATCAAGACCCTATCTCAAAATAAAAAAATAAAAAGGACTGGGGACTGGGCTGGGGTTGTGGCTCAGTGGTAGACTGCTTGCCTCATATTAGTGAGGCTCTGGGTTTGAGTCTCAGCACCGCATATGAATAAATGAATAGAGTAAAGGTCCATCAACAACTAAAAAAAAAATTTTTAAAAAAGGACTGAGGATGGGCTCAGTGGTTAAGCACCTCTGGGTTCCATTCCCAGTTCCAAGAAAGAA